TTGTAGCTGCGCGGCAGGCCCTTGAGGACGTGGGTGATGTAGGACGCCGTCGAGTATTCGGCGCCCGCCATCCTCATCTCAGCTAGGATCCGTTGAGCTCGGTTGCAGTAGTCCGTCGCCGACTCCTGCTCGCCCATCCGAATGTGAGTCGTCTTCTCCTCCAGCTGTCCGATGTACAGGTCGTCCCTGGCCTGGTACATCGACATGATGAAGCGCCATGCCTGGTGACCAGCATCCAGTCGCTCTCGACAGCTCCCGAGCGCTAGCTGCACCACCGGCGAGCAGCACCTCGAGATGACCATGAAGGTGAGCAGGTGAGCAGAACGAAACTCCCTGCGCAGCTCGACATCCTCCTCGGGCGGAATTGGCACGGTGCCGTTGGCGAAGCCCTTCAGCCCAGCGACCTCCAACTGAGGTTTGATCGACTCCCTCCAGGTGATGAGGTCCCGTCGACCTTGCAGCGGTGCGACGGTGATCCGGTCCGGCGAGAATTTGAAGTAGCCATACGCTGGTGCAATCCCGCCTGCCGTCACATGCGTCGTCGCCGAGAGCCCTCCCACGCTTTGTAGAGGAGAGCGACGTTGAGCATCGACATCATCACGCGAGCTGCCTGCAGCCGCCGTCGACCGCTGCACTCGCGCCTGGATTCCGTCGACACCACCGTCGACCTTGATCACCCCTCTCTACCTCGTGCCTTCGCTGCCGCTAACTCGTGCACCACTGTCGACCTCGTCGTCGACGCCACCTTCGTTGCGCACCGGTCGAGGAGATGCAGGACGGGAAGGGTGTTCCGTCGCCCACTGCAGCCGGATGCCCAACTCGGCAATCACCAAGGGTGTTCCAAATGCCTCCGCAGATCTCGTCGAGCAGGTTATCCGGCCGACCACCAGGTGCTTCCGGTCGACCACCACTGCTTCTGGTCAACCATCAGGTCCCTCTGGTCGACCACAACTCCCGTCGAGCTACCCCCTGGTCGACGGACCCCTTCCGTCGACCAGAACCGTCAGCGGTTGACGCCGAGCTCCCCTCGTCGACCGCTGCTCACTTGTCAGGTCGACGGACTGCTCCGTCGACCTCCCAGTCAAACTGCAGGTCGATAGACTGCTCCCGGTCGAGCTGCAGGTCGACGGGAACCCCCTGGTTGAGCTGCAGGTCGACGGAGGCGTCCCCGTCAAACTGCTCCTCCTGGTCGACGGCCCACCCGTCGCCCAGACCAGTCAGATGCAGCTGTCGAGCTCCCTGGTCGACAGCAGCACCGCAGCGGTCCCCTGCAGCTCGACGATGCCTGTCGAGCAACTCTCGCACTGTGAACGGTCGGCTGCTACTCCCGTACATCCGACCAAGTCGTCGGCGTTGCCCAAGCGAGGGCAGGGCCAACACTGCACGCATCCCACGTGCGATATTGGGGCACCTCCACGAAATACGACGGCGCCCAGGGTCCGATTTTTCCTTCCCGTGCCGGTAGAGTCAGGTAGTCCGCCGGCTTTGTGTCGATGACACGCCACCAATCCATGGCGGCTCCTCGCAGCAACAACACGGCATAACAGATTTTCGCCTTATCCTCCGAGACGTAGTTGGCGTCGAAGAAGACATTCATCGTAAACAACCACGCCTGAACGGTAGGACCACCCTGTCAGAATCCCAACCACTAGACCATTGGGATAAAAGGGCTTGTTTCAGTAGCGGGTCAGTGCGCCCATAACCCCCCAGGCGAACGCCCCTGTAACCCTCTCCAGGATCTATCGGGCATCCACAGTGTTGATCTACTGAAACCCCCCCACACTGGGAGGCCCAGGACTAAGCACAGTGGCAACGGCCTACATGTGCATACACCGGGAATTGAACCCGAGACCGCTCTGATACCATGTCAGAATCCCAACCACTAGACCATTGGGATAAAAGGGCTTGTTTCAGTAGCGGGTCAGTGCGCCCATAACCCCCCAGGCGAACGCGCGTGTAACCCTCTCTAGGATCAATCCGGCATCCACAGTGCAGATCTACTGACACACCCCGTTGACTCGGGTCGAAGCATGGCGGACGCTGCGGCTTCAGCGACATCGGCGACGGCAGTGTTGATTCGCCGGCCGGCACAGAAATCGTGACTCGAGGCTGACTCCTGGCCGCATTCGTCGCTTTGGGGTGTGTCGTGTTGTGGTCGTCGTCTCCGTCGTGGCGGACAACGCCATCACTAGCCGCGCTCGCAGGTTGCCCCACACTTCCGTATTGCGATGTTTGTGGTGCGGGCTGTACCGGAGTGAAAGATGCTTGCTGCGCTCTTGCGATGTCATTTTGCAGGGACGTGCGTTCTGCCGTTAGCGCCGCGATTTCTTCAGAGCTTTCGCGGATTTGCCGCAGCAGTTCGTTCAAGTGCTCCTGCGTGAGAGTTGTGACGTCGATGTGCTCGGCCATTACGAAGGGCGACACCTTGGCTTAGTCTAGGCGCAGTCGTGGCTGCACGCGTTTTCGAGAGAACGCGAGGACAACGGCTCCTAGGGGCTAAGGTGCGTGAGTCCCTTCGAGTGAAAAATCAAAAGTTGATTTCCTGGGGTGCGGAGATGCGCAGTCTGAAAAGGAAGAGGCTCTGAATACCAAGTGTTACGGGTGCAATGAATCAAGGTAGCGAGGATTGCACTAAGGTGTCAAACGAGTACAAAATGTGAGCGAAGGCATGAGCGAACATTCATACGTGAAACATGCAAACGGTACCGCGGTGCGTGCGAGCTAGCTAGTGTGAGGATCTAGGATCAGGCTCAGAAAAGAGAATGGGAATTGAATTGAATTGAATGATTCACCTGGGTACAACACGAGGCTATATATAGTCTCGACACAAGGCCAGTTACCCAGGTGTTACGCGAATGTTCAGAGGGTCGCGAAGCGTCCCGAACAGAAACTTCCCGAACTCAGTAGAAAGCAATTCGGTGGAAGCCGAATAGGCTTGAGTTCGTGCACGTAACCTGGTTCGGTGCTACAATTATAATAACATATAGGAATGCACCTAACCTAGGAAATCAAGCATATCTATGCATGATAAATAAATCCCAAGCTAGATATAGCATAAAAAAGTCCAGGCAAGCTAGTAAAGCCAGCATAAGCCATCGTACTCTCACACGTCCCCCCCTCAAAGCTGGGTGGCGTGAGATACACCCTGCTTGACAAGATAGTCCTTGAGAGCACGGCGTGCGTTGCCCATATCAGCTTCTGCAACCCAACTGTCCTCAGTGGGGTCGTATCCCTTCCAGCGTATCAGGAACTCGAGGATCTTGCCACCGCGGCGCCGATGAGTGAGAACGCGCTCCACTTCGTACTCGGGTTCATCCTGGATGAGAACAGGTGGTGGTGGCGGTAGCTGCCGTCCCTGGAACTGTTGGTTGGGGTCCTTGCAGGGTTTCAGTAGCTGGACATGGAAAGCGTTGTGAAGCTTCCATGTATCTGGAAAGCGCAAGCGGAATGTAACTAGTGTCGCTTGTGCCTCAACGAGAAAAGGACCACAGAAGCGAGGCCGGAGTTTGGATGGGAGGTGAGACATGTTCAAGTTGCGCGTGTCAAGAAGCACCTGATCCCCGACTGCTACTGATTGATCTCGTCGCTGGCGATCGGCATACTGCTTCTGGGAGGTCTGCATCGTGATGAGTCGTCACTGAGTCTTCTCCCATAGCTGCTGCACGGTGGTGACGAAATCATGTGCGGCTTGGACGTGTGCCGGTGTGGTTGGCTGCTGTGGTGTAAGTGGTTCCCGTTCGTAACACAGGAAGAATTGAGTTTTCCCTGTTGCCGCATGTGACGCGTTGTTGTAAGCGAACTCTAGGGTCGGTAACTGTGTGTCCCAGCGGCTGATTGTCAAACTCATATCATATAGCTTGTCTAGGCTATAGTGGGGTAGACACTATGGGGTACAGTTTCCTAGGGTTTCCTACTTGTACCCACCCTTGTGCTAGTTCATTCATTCCTCATTCTTCACATGGTATAGAGCAGGTTTCCTCGTGGGAACGCTTCTCAGGGCCCACCAACTACCTCGATCTTTTTTTCCTGCCCGAGACGTGCCCCGTAGGCCGCCCTCACGTCGCGCCCTCGTAGAGGCCCCTCTCGCCACCCTTAGCGGCCCCGTCGCCGTCCTTAGCGACCCTGTCGCCGCTCCTCTAGGCCCCTCGTGGCCCCTTCACGGCCCCGTCGCCGCCGCTCTAGGCCTCGTCGCCGCCGCCCTAGGCCCCTCGTGGCCCCTTCACGGCCCCGTCGCCGCCGCTCTAGGCCCCTCGCGGCCCCTTCACGGCCCCGTCGCCGCCGCTCTAGGCCCCGTCGCCGCCGCTCTAGGCCCCTCGCGGCCCCTTCACGGCTCCGTCGCCGCCGCTCTAGGCCCCGTCGCCGCCCCTATAGGCCCTTCGCGGCCCCTTCACGGCCCCGTCTCCGCCCCTAGCGGCCCCGTCGCCGCCCCTCTAGGCCCCTCGCGGCCCCTTCACGGCCCAGTCGCCACCACTTCTGGCCCCGTCGCCGCCCCCTCTAGGCCCCTTACGGCCCCTTCGCAGCCTCGTCGCCGCCCATCTAGGCCCCTTGCGGCCCCTCTAGGGCCCCGTCGCCGCCCCTAGCGGCCCCGTCGCCGCCCCTTCGCAGCCACCTCGCCGCCCTTAGCGGCCCTGTCACCGCCCCTAGCGGCCCCATCGCCGCCTCTACCGGCCCCGTCGTCGCCTCTACCAGCCCCTTCACCGCTGCACCACCCAGCAGCCGAGCTGCCCAGCAGCCGAGCCGCCCAACAGCCGAGCCGCCCAACCGCCCAGCAGCCGAGCCGCCGAGCCGCCAAGCCACCCAGCAACCGAGCCGCCGAGCCGCCCACCAGCCGAGCCGCCCAACAGTCGAGCCATCGAGCCGCCCAGCAGCCGAGCCGCCGATCCACCCAGCAGCCGAGCCGCCGAGCCGCCCTGCTGTCAAGCTCCTACTGCTCCTACCGGCGCGCCCCGGCCCTACTTACTCGGACTGGTGAGATCACTCCCTGCTAGGCCACTGTAGTCATGGCTACCCCCAGTGTCCTTATCTTTGATGCTGAGGGTCGTGCTGTTGACTTTGAGGTCTGGGTCGATGACCTCCAGCTGTTCCTACAGCACAATAGGGCACACGGACTCTCTCTGTTTGATCTCACCTCTGGTGTCTCTCCTGCCCCGCCTGCTACTGCTGACAGCACTGTTCGCTCACAATGGGCCACACGCGATGCTGCTACCCGTCTTGCTATGCGTCGCCACTTACCGGCCGCTGTGCGTGCGCACTTAAGTCAGTACAAGAGTGCTAAGACCTTGTACGACGCTGTAGTTGCACGGTACTCTTCCCCTGCCACTACTGCTCTTAGCCGCCTCATGCTGCCGTACCTGTTCCCTGACCTTGCTGCCTTTCCCACAGTCGCTGACCTCATTACGCACCTCCGCACTAGTGACACTCGCTACCGCGCTGCGCTTCCTGCTAAGTTCTGTGCCAAGAACCCTCCCCCCATGTACATCACCCTCTACTACATAGTCACCCAGCTCCCTGACTCCCTTCGCTTAGTCAGGGACCACTTCCTCTCAGTTTGCCCCACCACACTCACCGTTGACCTACTCGAGGAGCGCCTCCTAGCTGCAGAGAAGAGCATAGTCGCTGTAGAAGCCTCTCGTGGTGACCCTCGCACCCCCGTCTTTGAGGGGTGTTCCCCCTCCCCCCTATTGCCCTCTGTTGCTTCTGCCGCTGCGGCCGACCTTGTTGGTTTCGAGTCAGTCGGGCTGCGTCTGCCCCTAGCGGGAGACGCTGCACCGGCAAGGGCAAGGGGGGCAAGGGCACTTGAGGGGCTGGCGGGGGCGGTGGAGTTAGTGGTGGAGGAAGTGGAGGGGGTGGGGGTGGTGGTGGGAGTGGTGGCGGGGGTAGAGGTGTCGATGGCAGCAGTGGAGGCGGTAGAGGCGGCGGCGGTGGCAGAGGGAGCGGAGGCGGCGGAGGTGGCATAGGCGGCGGAGGTGGCGGAGGCGGCGGAGGTGGCGGAGACGGCGGCGGCAGCGGTGGAGCTGGTAGCGGCTCTGCGCAGAGGAGTGGCTTCGGTGGTGGTCCGCGCCAGCAGTAGCAGCGCAGTCGTGAGACCCTGTCCCCTCAGCAGCTTCGTGAGTGGTACGCTGCGCGTCAGCGCGGTGGGGGTACTGGTCCCTGCACCTACGTCCTCCTTACCGGCGACCACGCTGGTGAGCAGTGCGGGGGCCCGCACTCCACCCAACGCTGCTTCTGCCGCCTGATGGACGCGTGGCGTCACCAGTTCCCTGAGGCCTCTGAGATCCCTCGCTGGGGAGAGCTGTCTAGGGAGGGGGGTGCTATCTTTGATCTTGATTATGATGCTATTCTTGCTGCCATGTATGCTGAGAATGATAGTGTTGAGGGTGACTGTTACCTATGTGTTCCGCCTGACCCGGGCATTGAGGCTGCTGCTCTAGGTGCTGGTGAGGCTTCTGCTCTAGGTGCTAGTGCGTCTGCTGCCCCAGGTGCTGGTGAGTTTGCTCTCTCAGGTACTACGTTGGCTCAGGACTTACACACCTTCACTCTTGACTCGGGTGCTTCCCGCTCCTTCTTTCAAGACCGCACCACACTTACGCCACATAGTCGGCCGGTTGCAGTCTCCCTGGCGGACCCCTCTGGGGGTCGTGTCCTTGCTAGCTTCTCCACTGTCTTACCGTGCCCGGTAGCCCCCTCTGGCACCTTGTCCGGTCTCTACCTCCCCTCTTTATCTACGAACTTGGTGAGTTGAGCTGACCTACAGGATAGGGGGGTTGACCAGTTCACTCCTGCGAGTCAGCGAGTGACCTACTGCACGTGTGCTCGGACAGGCCGACACTTGGCCACGTTCACCCGTCGGCCGGGGTCGAGCCTGTACACACTTACTACTGAGTCTCCTCCGGGTGCTGAGTCTGGTCAGGTAGCTGCGTCGAGTCAGGTGTTTGCTGCAGCGTCCAGGTCTGGTCCTGAGTCTGCTCCTTGCTCGTGTCCTCTCCTGTCCCACCATATTCTCCTCTGGCACCACCGCCTTGGTCAACCCGCCCCTCACTCCTCCGAGTTTCCTCCGATAGAGGCTCCGCTGCAGACTCTTCACATGGACGTGTGTTGCCCCGCCCGCGTCTGTGGCCAGGGGCACGAGCGTTACTTCCTGTTGGTGGTTGACGACTACTTGCGTTACACCTCAGTCTTCCCCTTGCGCAGCAAGGGCGACGTCACTGAGGTGTTGATCGACTGGATCCGCGCAGCTCGTCTCCAGCTCAGAGAGAGTTTCGGCTCGGACTTTCCTGTTCTGCGTCTGCACTCTGACAGAGGCGGGGAGTTTTCTTCTGCCCGTCTGGGAGCCTTCTGACGCGCACAGGGCATCCTCCAGACCTTCACGCTTTTGGCCTCTCCACAGCAAAAAGGGATTGCTGAGCGCCGCATTGGCATGGTCATGGACGTCGCTCGTACGGCCATGATCCATGCGGCTGCCTCCCATTTTCCGTGGCCGTTTGCGGTTCAGTACGCAGCGCATCAGCTCAACCTCCAGCCCCGGGTCTCCTTGCCAGAGACCTCCCCCACCCTGCGGTGGACGGGGAAGGTTGGCGATGCGTCTGCGTTTCGGGTCTGGGGATCTCGGGCGTTTGTTCGCGACTTGTCTGCGGACAAGCTGTCCCCCCGTGCTGTTCCCTGCGTCTTCCTTGGCTTCCCCTTTGACGCGCCTGGGTGGTCGTTTTACCACCCCACCTCGCGCCGTGTTCTGTCCTCCCAGGACGTCACCTTTGACGAGTCAGTGCCTTACTACCATCTCGTCCCCTACCGCACTGTGCCCCTCCCCCCGCCGCCGCTCTTCCTTGCACCAGGTCCTGCCCCGTCAGGTGTGTCCCAGGTAGACGCAGTCGAGCCTATCGAGGTAGCTGTTGACTCTGGTCCTACTAGAGGTGCTGAGATGCGGGTGCCGGGTCTAGGGGTGCTGAGCCTGAGGGTGTTGAGCCTGGGGGTGCTGAGTCTAGGGGTGCAGAGCCTGGGGGTGCTGAGTGTGGGGGTGCTGAGCTTGGGGTTGCTGAGCCTGGGGGTGCGGAGCCTAGGGGTGCTGGGTCTGCTCGTGTGGCCTCTCGCGGTGCTTCGTCGAGGCGGGGGCCACTCTCGCCGTAGGCGCTGCGCGAGTGGTTTGCCCGGCGCTGGAGCCGTGCTGCTGGAGTTGGAGGCACTACTGTTGCTGCTGGTCCCGGAGGTGCTCGTACTAGCGGTACTGGAGCTGCTGGGGCTGGGGGTGCTGCTGGGGCTGCTGAAGTTAGTCCTGCTGGAGGTACTGCTGGAGCTGCTAGTGGTACTGGAGCTGCCGGTCCTACTGGAGTTGGTGCTGCTGGAGCTATTGGTGCTACTGGAGCTAGAGCTGCTGGGGGTGTTGGCGCTAGTGGTTCTGCTAGCGCTGGTGCGTCTGAGGGTGCTGGAGTTAGCGCTGTATGGGCTGGAGGTGCGGCTAGCGCTGGTGCTGCCGCTTGGGGTACTGGTGCTGTCCTTGCTGGTTCTGGAGGCGCTGCGCGGCCACGGCCGTACTTCGTTCCGCTCCTTGAGCAGGCTCTTGGTCTCCCGCCCTCTACTGGTCCTGCTCCTCCCTTAGAGTGTCCACAGCTTGACCAGTCGCAGTCATAGTTACAGCCCGCCTCCCCCCTGCCTGCTCCTTCTCCCTACACTGGTCCTACTGGAGGTCTTGCTGAGCGTTGTGAGCCTGCGTCTCGTCCTGCGTCGCCTGTATATACTGCTCACACTAGTCGTCGTGCTCCGCGTCCGCGTCCTCCTGCGGTCCCAGGCACACACCAGATGGCACTCCGTCCTTCCACTGCTCCTCTGCGTGTCCCGTTGCCGTCGCCTCCAGAGTCCTCTCTTCCTGTTCTTGCTGACCCGGAGTCTGACTCTCTTCGTGCTGCCAGTCCTACTGTCACGCGTCTCCTGGCTACTGTTGTCACTGACCCTTCCTTTGAGTCCACTGCTGCGTCTGCCTTAGTTGCTGAGCTTGTCGACTTTGCTGCTCGCTGTCGTCTCGACTACGCCGCTAGTCTCGCTGCTGAGTCTCAGTCTGTGTGTCCTCCGTCCGTCGGGGGTGAGTGTGCTCTTAGCACGGACGTCCTTGAGGACAGGCAGGAGGTGTTCTAGTGTTTTGCTGCTACTTTGCCTCATCTCGTGTCCACGCTGATTGCCCCTGAGGAAGGCCCGGATGCACCAGACATCCCGACTCCTCGATCGTACGCTGAGGCGATCGAGGGTCCCTAGTCCTCTCAGTGGAACTCAGCCATGGACGCAGAGATGGCTTCCTGGAAGTCCACAGGCACCTACGTCGACGAGGTTCCCCCACCTGGGACAAACATCGTCAGTGGCATGTGGATTTTCAGGGTGAAGCGGCCGCCGGGTTCTCCGCCTGTCTTCAAGGCACGTTACGTGGCTCGAGGCTTCAGTCAGCGGCGGGGAGTTGACTACTTCCAGACCTTCTCTCCCACCCCGAAGATGACCACTCTTCGGGTGCTGCTGCACATAGCCGCTCAGCGCGACTACGAGCTTCACTCTCTTGACTTCAGCACAGCTTTCCTGTAGGGCAGCCTGCACGAGGAGATCTGGCTGCGCTGCCCACCTGGCTTCACTGGGTCATTTCCTCCTGGTACCCAGTAAAGCCTCCGGCGGCCAGTCTACGGTCTCCGCCAGGCGCCCCGTGAGTGGAACGACACACTGAGGACTACACTTGCGGCTCTTGGGTTTGCTCCTTCTACAGCCGGCCCGTCGCTGTTTCTGCGCACCGACACCTCTTTGCTGCCGTTCTACATCCTCGTGTACGTCGACGACTTGGTCTTTGCCACTGCTGACACTGCTGGACTCGCCCACATGAAGTACGAGCTGCAGAAGAGACACACGTGCACAGACCTGGGTGAGCTGCGCATCTACCTTGGCTTGCAGATCACCCGAGACAGAGCACAGCGCACCATTACCCTGACTCAGTCACACATGGTGCAGTAGGTCCTTCAGCGCTTCGACTTCACGTACTCCTCGCCTCAGGCCACTCCTCTGTCTACTCGCCACTCGCTCTCAGCTCTGCCTTCGGATGAGTCCGTAGAGCCGAGTGGCCCGTACCCAGAGCTTGTTGGCTGCCTCATGTACTTGATGACCTGCACACGACCTGACCTTGCATACCCTCTTAGCATCTTGGCACGCTATGTTGCTCCTGGCAGACACCGGCCAGAGCACATGGCTGCAGCGAAGAGGGTGTTGCGCTACTTGTGCAGTACGTCGGGCATGGGGCTAGTGTTTAGAGGGCGACGTCGAGTGGTCCTCACAGGTCACGCTGACGCTTCTTGGGCTGACGACCTGGCTACGCAGCGGTCGTCACAGGGTTACACCTTCAGCCTTTGCTCCGGCTCTGTTTCGTGGCGGTCTACCCGCTCGTCTTCTGTTCTCAACTCCAGCTGTGAGGCTGAGATCTACGCGGGGGCCATGGCTGCACAGGAGCTTGGCTGGCTCACCTACCTGCTGACTGACCTAGGAGAGTCGCCTCGTTCTCCTCCAGTTCTGTACGTAGACAACAAGGCCATGCTGGCCTTGTGTCGGGAGCGCAGACTGGAGCACAGAATGAAGCATATTGCTCTTCGCTACTTGAGAGCGTCGTCGTGAGAGCGTCGGCTGTCGTCGTGAGAGCGTCGGCTGCGACTTCAGATATTTGAGACTGCATTAATCAGTATAGACTGTAGTCTTGGCTCCCTCTAGGTAACACCTCCACGCCTTGAAGGCTATGACTATCACTAAGGCTTCCTTGTCATGGATGGGGTAGTTCAGTTCTGCTCCGTGTAGCTTCTTACTGAGGTAGACGATGGGCTGCAAACTGCGTCCGTGATCCTGCATCAGTACTGCTCCGACTGCCTGGTCACTAGCATCTGCTTCCACCTCGTAGTCCTTGTCTGAATCTGGTAAGATGAGTACTGGCGCTGTAGTCAGAGCTGTCTGTAGCTACTCCATGGCTTGCTGATGATGAGTATCCCATTTGTAGGGCGTATCCTTTTTCAGTAGGTCGGTCAGTGGCGCTGCTATCTTAGCATATTGCGGCACGAACCTGTTGTAGTAGTTGGCAAAGCCTAGGAACTGCTGCAACTCCTTTACGTTCTCCGGTACTATCCACTTCTTGACGGCTTCGATCTTCCGCAGGTCCACGTGTACGCCCTCGGCACTCACCATGTGCCCGAGAAACTGCACCTTCTTCAGGGCGAAGTCGCTCTTCGACAGCTTCACGTAGAACTTGTTTTTCCGCAGGATCTCGAACACCTTCCGCAGATGCTCCACATGCTCCTTCATGTTCTTGGAGTAGATGAGAATGTCGTCTAGGTACACCACCACGCACTCGTCCAGCAGGGGTCGTAAGATGTGATTCATCTCCGCCTAAAACATTGCTGATGCATTGCAGAGTTCGAACAGCATCACCAAGTATTCGTAGGAGCCGTATCTGGTAAGGAACGCCGTCTTGTGGATCGAGTTGTCCGCCATCTTGATCTGCCAGTAACCCGACCGTAGGTCCAACTTCGAAAAGACTGTTGCACCACGCAGTTGGTCCAGTAGGTCGTCTATGTGCGGTATGGGGTATTTGTTTTTAACGGTCTGTTTGTTCAGTGCGCGGTAGATGATGCACATCCATAGACTGCCATCTGGTTTTGGAGTGAAGAGGACTGGTGCACCGTTGGGAGAGGTGGATGGGCGGATCAGCTGTCTGTCTAGTAGATACTCGATCTGTTTCTT